ATGTTGCAACGGCCCGTTAGTCCCGTCTAGAGGATGCGACTTACGCGACACGAATCATATTCGTCCAATAGATTCCGGCCGGTGCGCGAGGATCAGGACAATAGAAAAAGAGAGTCGCTCGCCGTTTGTTAAGAACTACCATCCTCTGTTCATTTTTTTGCAAACATTTCTTCATTCTTTCTTCACTAGTATAGGGCTACCAATGATAGATCTCTAGAACCGAATATCCCCGACGCAAGTAGGGGTAGGTATAGGAGACGAAGCTCAACAACCCCCTGGTCGTATCCGAGCAATCGGCCCCTCGCCTCCTACTGCTCCGTGAAGAGCAACCAGCCCGTGAAGGCCCCGGAGCCCGCAAGATCCTTCAGTGGCGGTACACAGAACAAGCGGTCCTGACAGGCGGTCCTGAGGGACAACAAATAGACCGATACCGAAATGGCCTCGCACCGTCCGGTAGACCGAGGTGTCCGCGTCCTACCTCCTTGGAGACGCGGCGACGCCATGCACTGTCCCGCCGACGTTTGATTTGTTCCCAGACACCCCGCAGAGCCGGGGGTGGAGTGTCTAGTCTCGCTAATAAACCGGCGCTCCGTAGCCGGTAATTATCCGAACCAGTTGCCACGACCGGGGATTAAAGGTGCACCCAAAACAGACGCAGCGCAATGCCGGACGCAGCCCATAGCCCGACGCGGCTCATGCGACGCCGGCGCCAGCAACAGTTTACTTAGCGACAACGCCGCGGGTGAAGATTAGTTCACCACATAAGGTGGTGTGCGCCGCGACCCATAGCACACGAGTCTTGTGGTCTCCAGAGCCACGTCCTAAGAGAATTTTTAATCCTACTTAGGATACAAAAGTGCTGGTGCGTCGGCAATTACCATTACACCTATACGTCTCCTTACTTTTAAAGCGCGGTCATATTCGTAATATAAATATATATATGTTTGTGTGTGTTGCATTAAAACGCTCTGGGCTAGGGAGGCATCAAGAAAGTTTCATCAACTCTCCTTTTAAGGTCCAACAACAAGCAGCGAGGCAAATGTCCGGTCGACACCCATTAATAAAACAACTAACAATACATATGTTATATTAATTACTTACTACGAAATATAGAATGTGATTTTTAGTCGTGTGTAGAAACTAACGTACAGCAAGATTATGACCATTCATATAATAATAAATAAATAATTGGAAAACAAAACGACACATAGAGTTTCATCGGACAGGCTCCTTTAATACGGGGTTTAGTCTGTATTTTTGACGCTTCCGTGTGCCGTTCCTGTTCTGCGTAGGCCGCTAAGACTTTACGAAGACCTTTGCGTGTGCGCCAATACTGCGCGAATCTCCTCCAGCCGCTATAAATTGCGCCGCCGTTGCACGTGCACCGCTCGTGCGCCTGACCGACCTTTTGTATCCCCATGGGGACCAGCGCACGACGACCCACGTCAGACGCCCTACGGCCCCAGCGCAACACCAGGACACCACACAGACACAAACGAAAAAATAGAGAGACACAAAAAGCAAACACGCGACCCAAGACAAAAACACACACGACACACAAACACGCAAACATATACATTGTGCTTCGGTGACCGGTTCTTGCACGAGATCGGAAAGGTGGCGACGCAGTAGTAAGAGGGGGAGGACCTCTCCCACTCTGCCACCTACGTAGTCAGTAGGAATCACCGGGTCAAGTCCGCAAATGAACACAGGCTCGCCCGCGGTGTGACAAAAAAGTGTTTAGTAAAACCATCTATCAGACATGGACAAAATCCCAGCGTGCGTGTTCGTTTCTCAATCTCGAGGATACTGGCTTCCAAGCCAATATTTCAAGGATGATACGTCATCAAGTGGCGCAGCTGGACCGTTCCAATGTCCAGCATACTTGGAATTCCACCGAGGCCGCGTCCTTGGTTTGGGGGAAATTTTAAGGCTGCACATGGGTAGACTTCGCATCCTTAAAATCCCCACAATGCTTTGCGCACGGACCAATTTCAAAAATCCTTGCGGTGAATGGCTGAACCGACGCAGCACACATTTAAATGTAAGTATGTAGTGACGTAGGACATGTAAATATGTTACTTTGTTACATTTGTTATCACCAAAAATGTGTTCCGTGAAAGTAAAGCAAGTTCATAATTAGATAGACATTGTGAGGTATTTATTTTCGGTACAGTTTATGTTGAAACCGTTAGAGAGAGTGGCACACTTGTTAGCCTGTTCCATTCTTCTTCGTTTTCCGAAGCTGTGGCTTGGAAGCATACTTGCTTCGTTTCTGAAGGAAGTGAATTGGAAGTACGCAACTACCAAGCCAGCATCCTCGAAATTGAGAAGCGGCCTGTAGGTGAATGCTCGCATAGCATGGTTAAGGGTAGTACCCATAGAGTCCAGTAGAGGGTGGAGCCTGTGTGAAATATAACCATATTCCCCCCCGGGATAAACTAAGTATTCTGATTCTGAAATATAATGCAGCTCATTGCCCCAACCGTACAATTAACACAGATTTTGTAAAGCTATTAATTTTATTTTGGTTTATTTACAATAACTTTTTTTAGCTGGAGACATTAGTATGCATTTTGTTTAACAGCAGAAAGCAGCAGCAGCAGCAGCAGAGGTTATTGCACCAGCTGTTGACAGTTTTCTAAATTAAAGTCCTCCCTCCCTCCACCCTCCCTTGCCCTCCGCAGTGCGCAGCATGGTGATGGAGACGGAGCGTCTGGTGGAGTCCCGGCGGCTCCTGGAGGCCCACGCCCGGCTGATGGATCTGGAGCGCTGGCAGGACGACATCTTGTGGCAGCTCTATGGGGCTACTGGGCCGGCAGGAAGTGCCCTCAGCCCAGAGGAGCAGGAGCTGGTGGGCAGATACTTCTCTGGAGTCGGGCAGCTGGTGGACGCCCTGGGTACGAGAGCATATAAGCAGCATACAGAAAGTTTACGCAGTCATTTCAGTTTAATTAATTCTATGTATCATAAGCAAACATATATGGCATCTATATTTGTTGTAGTTTAGAGCCCCATATTTTTGTTTTGAATTAAACATTTATAAATAACTATAATCTCCTTATTCCAACAGGATTTCTTTTAGGTATTGAAGTATTGAAATGTAATACCGTAACATAAAACCTCCTTCTTCATTTGACTGATTGTGTTTGGACTATATTACATTTATTTGTATTAAGTAAGTGTGTCTTATTTTGCTAGATATATGAGGAAATGTATAAAATAAATTATAATTTCTTTAAGGTAAAGAAAGGTATTTTTGTTCACTTGGGGGCAGCAGAAAAAGAGCATGACACATCATGGACATACTGTATATTCCCCCTTAATGAGCAAGTAGTTTCAGAGAGATTGTTCTAGTTTACTAACATCACCGTTTATTTAAAGTCATGATTTTTCCCTTCACAAACTCCAGCTACAGTACTTGCCTACTTAGTGTTTTGTTGTTGCTAAAAGCCATCCTCATTTGCAGCAGTTTGGGGGCAGAAACACCAAAACAAAGAGTTAAAAGACGCTAAAAATCTATTCACAGCTGAGATGGACTGCACATTTTGGTTCCGCTTCTCTGTGGGTTTGTAACTACAAATGATACCCCATCTATCACAATACACATGGTTCATGTAAATCATGTATATATGGTGCAGCATTAAAACGTCTCAGGGAGGACAGTATTTGTCCTAAAATGTCCTGTATTAAAGATCATGACGTTCTGTTTGCATAAGTCAAATGAAAATTTAAAGTAGATTAAATGAATAATCTAACTGACAATGATACACTTAAAAAGTTGATGTGTTTAGCTTAGATATTGGATATTTGCATCATTAATGAAAAGGTATTAATAAAATCCAACATGTCCCCCCTGTGTGCAGGTAAGGAGCTTTGGGCGGTGGTGAGCAGCGCTCTGGCTCTGGCCCGACAGAACCCAACACCATTCGTATCAGCGGTGAGGATTGTGGAGCGGGAGGAGGCCCTGGACCGAGCTCTACTGGAGGAGAGGGGAGGGGCCAAAGGCCACTCCAGGCCCCTGCCCCCCGGAAGACCCCGCTGCTGGAGAACCAGCTTCTTCCAGGTCAGAATCCAACACAACACCTCACCTTTAATCATTACCTCTTTCACATTTCTGCTGTGTCTTACATTTCCCCCGTCAGGTGCTGGAGGAGGCGGTCTCTGCCAGGTTCCGCAGTGTCTCCTACCTGCACACGCGGGGCCCCGGGCTCGCAGGCCACCTGTCGGCTCTCCAACACGGCATCATGGCTGACCTGGCCACAGTGCGCCACCTGCTAGAGCACTGTGTCCCCCCACACTACCAGCTCACAGCAGCCTACCTGAGGGCCAGCCACCACTGCCTACATGCTCACCTGGCACAGGTCAGTCACACAGAAACAAAACAATAATACATTGTCTCTTCATTATCTAGAAAGGTTAAAGGGACTAATATTATCTGTCTGTGAGTTCATCGTGCATGTACATGTGTCTCTCTTTCCAAAACTAATCTTGCATTTTACATGAATCCACAATATGTTTAGTCAACATATAGGTTTGTTGAATCTTGTATACAGTGCCTTCATTGACTGCTGGCTTTCCCTTAGCCGGCCTGTAGGGGCCACAAGTGATCAAAGTAAAAGCAAAAGACATTTCTTTGCCACAGCTTGGCAAATTTCTCACTTACTCTGTTACCAACTTTATGACCCACTAAAATGTAACCATCTTGACTGTGAGGGAGCCAGAAGGGAACATTGAGTGAGATTCAACTCTTCCTTGTTTGTGAGGGGAGAGGGACACGCATCTACAGTTTTCTACTGAGTGACTTTTTCTAACATCGTTTTCTGCTATACATGATTATTTAAGGTTATAAATCTTAACTTTTCATATAATATAGTTAGAGGCATGAGACTTTATATTATATTTTCTTTATCAGCTAATTTCCCTTTGGCAATCACCAGCTGGAGTTTGTAGATGAATCATCATTTTTACAACTATTTCCAAACTAAGTGATACTTGTGGCCTAGGTTAGCAGCTGGGACCTGGAGAGTGGAGAAATCTTCGCCGTGCTAAACTGGGTGCTACACACCTACAACAGGTGAGAGGCAGGACCTGCACACAGTTTCATATTCTGTATTATACTCTTTGTTTTCTGTCTGATTGGGGTTCTTTTAGCTCTAAATCTATCCATATTTCCCCTAATTACCATTTAATAGAGCAGAAAAGAATCCAAATAATGTCATTCATCACTTTCATCAGTTGTGAATTGTAAATCCCAGCTTTCATAATATAGTTCAGGGGTACATTAGTCTAAATCAGTGATCTCCAATACACAAGCTGAACCCCGGAAGGTCTTGCAAAATGATAAACCAGAAAGAAAGAAAGACGGAAAACCAATTCTGTGTCACATAAATTATTTACTTTTTCACTTCTCTTGAATATTTGCTCTGTTCTTTGCACCTGTTCAGACTACTTTAAAACATCTACTGTATCTGAGCTGCTTCTAGGTTGACCACATATGTAACCGATGAGCAGTGAGAGTGTTTGGCTCTAAAGAGTCATGAAGATCTCCACCACATTGTGCTGCCCAAATAAAAAGTTGATTATCGCGCCATGATAACAATTTTTTATTCCACTTTCAGTAAACAAAATGTTTGTTTTTGGCTGCAAATGAACCTGTTGAATATTGTTTAAAATGAAATGCTCAGAGTCTGAAGGTCTTGATTTGGCAGCCCAGACATGATGGGTCAGCCGGAGCTGGAGGCTGAGATGGAGAAGGTGGAACTGGGACCCCTGATCTCCATCGAGGGACTGGAGCAGCTGCAGAACAAATACGTGCAGAGTGTTCGGGTGAGTCCACCATAAACACTTGTTTAAACCTGTAGCTTAAGTAAGTTCAGCACGCAGGTTTAGAGTTTTCAAGGTCCCCTATTAACTCTTTTTCAACAATATATTGCAGGTCTCAGATATATACAGAACATGTCTCTGAAGTGTTCGGCTGAAACACCAAACAGATCATTGTAGCATCCCATAAACCCCTCTGTTTCAGCCCTGTTCCAAAAGTGCTGATTCTGTGTCTGTAGCTTTGAATGCTAACTGCTGCTGGCCACGCCCCTCTGATTGGTTTTAAAAAAACACAATGGTGCTCTAGGAGGAGATTCAGGTGATATCTTGGTTGGTGATTGGCTAATGGTCGGCATCACAAAGTGGCCAAGATCTGATCAGCTCATTTTCAGACAGGTTTTTATATAGATGGATCGGGACAAAAAGAGAAACTGAGACTTAGAGAATCACTTTACACAGAGAGGACACATATTTATGTATCAAAGACATGAACAAGTGGATTTTGCATAGTAGGTGACTTTTAAAGACATTACACAGTAACACGACCACACATTTTATGCTGGTCATCCATCATCAACATTTAGTAAAAGGACATCAGTTATCTTTTCGAAAGGTACGTGCTGAGTACCTTGAGATAGAAAATAGGTAGTAACCACATACAGAAAGTAATGACGGAGAAATCCACGAGATCTGTGTAGTTATACAATGTGTGTGTCCATGCTGTTGTTCTTACAGAAGAGTGTGTCAGAGTGGATGCACAAAGCTCTGCATGTGGAGCTGCAGGACTGGCAGAGAGACCAGGAGCCGGACACAGACCATGAAGGCTTCTACCTCACCAGCCTGCCCACCATCATCACACAGGTACACAGGCCATACACAAACACTACACTAAAAACACATACCAGTTTGGTGCAGTGGCCCTGTAGATGTATCCAGTCATTTGTCATACAACATGTGTATTTGGTGCCGATTTGTTTGTTTTGTGTTTGGTAGATGCTGGAGGACAACGCCCGGGTGGCTCTGATGATCGGGAAGTCTCTCAGAGATCAGATGATTCAGATGGGCCTGTATGAGATGGAGAACCTCCTCAACAGGTGTGAAATATTTTATATAATGTGCCTAATTTGTATTCAGTATATCAAGCAGGCATGTGTTACACACTTTCATTCACCTCCATCCTAACAAATCAGGTTTCGAGAAGCTCTGGTGGAGTTTGGGAAGGAGCATCGCAGGGATCCAAGCAAAGACAAAAACAAGTTCTACCTCCACTACCTGCTGGCCTCCATCAGCAACTGCATCATCCTCAAGTGAGATTATAGATGATAGGTGCTACTCATGTTCTTCTACTCGAGACGTATTTAGCCACAACTTCTATAGTATGAGCTACAAACATCACATGCATTGTGAAGGAGTGGGAGCAGCATGCTACTATTTTTTACTCGACCTATTAAAAAGAGCTTTTCTTTTAATCAGCTAAAATTCATTTGCAGGTGTTCATACAAGTTATTGGGTAGTTGGTGAACACGTTCAACACCACAGCTCCAATGACTTGCCATTCCACATCAACACATTACGATAAGTGGCAAAAATATGTTCTCATATATTTTCTGAGACAAACATAACAAGAAAAGCAGCAATGGACAATGCTTATGCATACAAAAATAATAACAGTAGTAGGGGCGGGGGAGGGATTAAACTGTTAATTTATTTTATGCATGTATTGCTACAGTATATAACATGTTGTGTAACCATAGAAACACTTTCTTACAGCATGGTCTTACATCAGCGCATCTATTCCGAAATAAAAATGTAATTTCATCAGTATCTTTCCTTATGGATGCTCACAATATTAGCCTCAGTGGTCAATATTGATATCCAGAGTGAATATTATGGGTCCAATAATGTGTTTTTTATATTACAAAGTGATGATTAGATTGAGGAATGAGCTTATTGTAACCGTAACTTGTTTTCTCTCCTCTCAAGATATGACAGGGCCTGCCTCCTGCAGCTTCTTCAAAAACCTAAATTAAATGAAAATAAATAATGAATCCAGGCCTTAATAACACCCTGTCTGTCCCCTGTGTTCTCCACAGGAAGTCCACATTGAGCCTGCAGCATCAGCAGCAGTCGTCCCGGTCTGCAGGACAGTTCTCTCGGACCCCCCCCAACCCCCTGGCCGCTCTGGACCGGGCGGTGCGGCGGGCCTGTCGCCTGGTGATGGATCAGCTGCTGCTGGCTCTGCAGCCCCACCTCCCCGGCCTGATGACCCGACCCTGGCTGGTCCAGGGAGACCCCACCCTCAAACTCTGCAGCGTCCTGGAGCTTCACCTGGAGCTGTACGGCCATGTGCGGCCCCCCTGCAGAGAGGTCCCAGCTTTACTCACACTTGTATTTTAGCTATAAAGACAATCATCACTGGTACCGTAATTTTCGGACTATAAGGCGCACCTGAATATAAGCCGCAGCAGCGGCATACCACTCTCGGTTCCACTTTTACTTTTGCGCGCTACCTGTCTCACTCTTTTCCGGCCTCCAGCTTTTCCTGCTGGAACCCGCCGCTTAAAGGTGGGGGTCCGCGGACCGG